TACTATGTTTTTATTGATTTATTTGGTGTGCATGCAGTGGAGTTGTTGAGGTGTGCATGCATGCCATGGTGTGCATATGGAGGTCAGAGGACATCTCTGGGGGTCCATTCTCTCCACCACATAGGTCCTGGGGCTTCAACTTGGGTCAGCAGGCTCGGCATAGGAGCATTTACCTGCTGAGTTGTCATCTTGTGGGCCCCTAAATCTATTTTTTTCAAGATTGTAAAAAATGTGTTTATGTGTGTGCTTATATGAGCTTATGTGTACCGTGCACATTCAGGAGTTCGCTGGGGCTAGAAGAGGGTGCTAGATCTGCAGCAGAGTTCCATGCGGTTGTGAGCTGCCATGTGGTGCTGGGAACCCAATCCAGGTCCTCTGCAAGAGCAATAGGCACTCTTAACTACCGAACCATCATCTCTTCAGTCCCCCACCCCTAACTGTATTTTTTTTTTTTTTTTTTTTTTTTTTTTTTTTTTTTTTTTTTTTTGGTTTTTCGAGACAGGGTTTCTCTGTGTAGCTTTGTGCCTTTCCTGGAGCTCACTTGGTAGCCCAGGCTGGCCTCGAACTCACAGGGATCCGCCTGGCTCTGCCTCCCGGGTGCTGGGATTAAAGGCGTGCGCCACCACCGCCCGGCTCCTAAATGTATTTTTAAAAGAATTAAAACACATGGCTTTGTCCAGAAGAAAAGAAATGCTTACAGCCCAGAACTGAGCTGGTGGGCTGCAGCTGGTGCAGGGGCCAAGTCTTGGTCTTCACTTTATTTCTTTGGTCACAAGCCCCATGCTAGGTAGCAGACTAGGGGGCTCCACATTCCTGCAGAGTAGCGTTACTGGAAGAAGTCCAGCAAGAGGCCTGCGATGAGCCAGCATGACCCTCACAACAAAGTGAGGAAACCTATCAAGGGATGCCTGCTGACACGGAGAGAATTCTGCTTTTCAAGCAACTCACTTAGGACAGCCTTTAGGGCTCAACAGTGGAGCAGAGTGCATGGACTAGGAGCTCACCGGGAGCTGGGGTGTCGCCAATACTGCAATTCTGATACTGGATAGTGGGCTCCTTCATGCTTATTCTGTCATTAATAAAAACAAAAGCGCACAATATAGGAGATAAAGCTCAGGTGGCAAAGTGTTTGTTGCCAAGCCTATGGAGACATTCCCATTGCCTGCGTAAAAGCACAATGTGTGCCTCTGACCTCAGTGCTGGTGTGTGTGTT